TGTAAGCGAAACGCACCAATGGCAGCGCGCCGTGATTTATCGTGATCACCTTGGTAAATCGTCATTTTCACTTGCGACATCCGCTGCTTTTAATTTCAAAGTTCGAAAACAACTCATCCACGAGAAGGTGCAGGAGATCGACACAGACCTAGAGATCGAGGATCCCGCCCCCAACTGGGCGTTCTGGCCTCCTGCACGTTATCGGTGGCGCATCGCATTCGCACATGTTCGATCCTCGTCCGTGGCTGCTTTACTGCCTATACACCGCTGCGCTCTTTTTCTCCGTACCTCTGTCACTGGCTGTTTGGTACATCAGAAGAGAACTTATCCAGGAGACAACAGTCGTCGGCGACTCTCAGGTAGCGGCTGCGCGCTTGTCATTGCTTTGACTCTTGAAGCACTTTCTCAAAGCAGCAGCTCTCTCTAAGCTTTTATTAGGGCTCTGCAACTACCATATGCCGTGCAAGACACATTATACATTCTAACTTGTTTTAGCTCGGTGGCCTCTCCAGTAGATCCTCCGAGAACGTCGGTGTCGATACCGCCGCCGTCAAGCGCGACTTTGAAATCCGCGTTGACCACTAAGGTTTGGTTCCATACATTCACATTCGTTTACTGTCTTAGTGAGTGACACTTGTCCTTCAATGGACTGCCACCCTTTTTCTGAGCCTCGGTCAAACTCTATCACAGGCTTGCTCAGTAGCGCTCGCCTTCGCTTTTTCCCCTTCACCTCGTTGTTCCTACTGCGCTAAAGACTAGTCTCACAAATCACTTTTACTCTCGAGATCGTTTTTTATCTGCTTTTACATCTGCTTGATTTATACGTTCCGTATTCAATTCGTTTTGATGACTGTACATCCCATCATCAACCATAGTCCTTGTGCTTTTCCCCAAGTGATTAAACAGCAAACTCAGTAGATTAGCCGCTTGTTAAAGTGGATTCGAAGCAAGAGTTGCGACTAGGATTGCGCAATAGCTTAATCTAAATACTCCTTTACCGCTGCTCTTGTGTGAAGCTTCATTTTCTACGAAAATAACAGGCACTTTTC